GGAGGTCTCGCCGGGCAGGAGTCCAGCAGCCCCGCGGCGTCGCGGGAGTTTCATTCCTCTACAATTCTCATTTTTACCCCCTCGCTGATCTGTTTCTCATTAAAGAGCTGTGCTCTCCTCTCGGCCCTACCTCCCGCCTGGCTCCCTGAGCCCTGCCTGGCCCAGCTCGGGAACCGGCTGCATCTGCTTTTGCTTAAAGCACAGACTGATGCAAACCCCAGAAGGCGGGAGGCACCGCGGCCCGTGCCCCCACCCGCTCCGCCTTTCTCCGGGGGTGGAAAATCTGTCCTCAGCCTGCCCTTGTGACTGGAAAAAGCAGGGTCAGCTCATCAAAGCAGAACAGCGTTACTGGCTAGCGTTCCTCTTTCGGAGGGTTATTAGGAAGGCGGCTGCGGAAGGGGTTACCCTAACGCGGCCCTGGCGGGGCCCAGCCAGCCCGGAGGGAGGTGGAGTTCCGCCGCAGGTGCCAGGGCCAGGGAGCTTTATTGGAGATGGGGGCGTGGGGGTAGCCAAACAAGGGATGCGAAGCGACTTCCCCTCTTGTTCTTCTTGCTTTCTGCAGGGCTGAGGCTTGAACCCAGGGCCTTCCATCTGAGCTATGTCCCAACCCCTTTTCATTTTGCGCAAGGTCTTGTTAAATTGTGAGGTGGGGCTTGAACTTGAGGTTCTCCTGCCTCATCCTCCCAGAGTGCTGGGATTTCTGGCTGTCGTGCAGCACTGCACCCAGCCTTCTTCCGCTAGGGGGGCCAAGCCCGCTGCTTCCTCTTCCCTGTTCCTCTTGCTGCCTATCTGTGGGAGGGAAGAGGCAGCAGGCACAGAGCTCTGAGTAGGAGGACCCTGAGTCTGCACTGCTGGGGCTAGCCAGGGAGTCTTGGGGGCTAAATCTGGCTTGCTCTTGCCTTCCCGGAGATTGAACCCACAGCCTTTGAAACAAGAATTTTTTGTTTTTCCATTTATTTATTTATTTTTATTTTGGGAGCGGTGTTGAGACAGGCTGGCCTTGAACTCACGATGTAGCCCAAATTGGCCTTGAATTCTTGGCAATCCTCCTGCCTCAGCTTCCCAAGTACTTGGATTACAGTGTGTGCCATCATGCCTGGCTTTGGTTTTTTTATTTTATTTTAAAACAATATTATTTTACATTGCCCAGGCTGGGCTCAAACTTTTGTTTGTTTGTTTTTTTGTTTTTTGAGACAGGGTCTCACTGTGTAGTTGAGACTGACCTGGAACTCACTATGTAGCCCTGGCTGGTCTCGAACTCACAGTGATCCTCCCGTCTCAGCCTCCTGAGTGCTGGGATTACAGGTGTGCACCACCACATTCACTACCACCAAGGCTGTCTCTTTCTAAGGGGTGGTGGCCATACATCCTGGTCTGGGTTGCTCTTGTGAGAATCTGGATTCTCCAGAAGTTGGTGGGGCTCAGGGTCCTACTCGTCGGGGAGGAATAGAAAGAAGGAGAACGGAGAGGAATCAGCTAATGGGGGACCACAGAGTGTCAGGGGTGAAGAGAGGAGGTCAAATCTCAGTGGCCTTTTAAAAAGCTGATCCAGGAAGAGGGAGATGAGAGGCTTTTGGCAACGTCCTCTCCCACCGGGGTGCTGTCTGCTGTCTTCCAACTGCTGCAGGCTGTGCCACGTTTCTGGGCTAACCTCTGAGAACTGGCAGCTTGCAGGAAGTCACTCTGCAAGGACTGGGCTTTGTACACAGGGAAACAACAGCAAGAGTATGGCAGAGATGCTTGTGATGAGCATTTGGTCCTCCTTCAAGTGGCTTCTCCACTTAAGACTACATTTCCCAGCTTCCTGTGCAACTAGCTGCCGCCTTTTGATGACTTTTCAGCCAATGGGAATAAGAGGATACAGGCCACTATGGGGCAGCACCCATGGGACATGAGGGCAGGAGCTGAAGCAGCCATCTCAGACCTCACAATGGAAGCCACTTGTTGGAGATGGAAAAGTTCAAGATGGGGTGATTCTGGGCCTCTGGAACTATGAAAGTGCCAGAGTTTTGGGCTGCTCCCACGAGGCCCGTCACTGAGAAGGAATACACTTTTCTCTTGTTTGAGCCACTGTTAGTATGGCCTTTGGTACAACAACCGAATGTGTAACTAATAGAGCAAATAACGCAGCCAGCAGTCACAGACATCTTAGTGTGCGTCAGTGCTGTTCTGAGAGCTTTCCACGGGGCATCGAAGCTGACCTTCACCACGACCTAAAGTGTTGGCAAGCAGGATGGCCGTCCTGACTCCCGGCTCCACCTCCTCCCTCGTCACCGTAACAGCCAGAGCCAGTTCAGGGTGCTGGGGCCAAGACCCGGTCCCTGTCCTCAAGACCCTCACTATCTCTCCATATACGAGGTCATGGTGGTGTGCACATCCGTCAGCCTGCCCAGGTCAACACACAGCCCGTGCGCTTGATTCTGCAGGCAGGTATAGCGGTGCAGTCTGGAGCAGCAGCGGTGTTCGCTTCTGGTGGCCGTGGGAGCCGGTGCTCTGCAGCAGTCTATTCACCAGCTCAACCCCCTTCCTCCCTCCCACTCAGTAATGCCAGCTGCGGTCTGAGGAAGTCAGAGGAGCGTTACTGAGGCTAGAGTCTTGGATTTGCTCTGATTTACTCTCTGAAAGTGGGATTTCTCCACAAATGTTTTGAGCACTATTAGTAACACATCTCTGCCTTCACCCTCATACCTGAGTGTGGTCGGCCTGGTTGTCATGGTATCGCTAGGGAGAACTGCTTAGGGATTGGACAAGCCTCCAGCTGGGCAGCTTTCCCTCTATGGACTGCAGAACCACAGGGCGAAGACATCTGAGTGCCAGCTCCTCGCTGTGGTGGTCTGCTGCCTTTGCCTCCAGAAGCATCCCCGAGCCTTGGCTATTTATAGCATCTTGAGTCCCCCCAGGGAGCTGCCTACTGCTTGTTCTATGGGAATCAATGTCCGTTCTCTCCAAAGATTAGGCCTGTGACCAAAAACAGACCATCGTATCTCAGTGTGGTAGCACAGGCAACAAGATGGAGAGCGGTGGGCTAGAAGTCTAGCTCAGTGGCAGAGCACTTGCCTGGTGTGCACAAGGCCCTGGGTTTCATCCCTAGCACCAAAGCTAAAAACAAATGAGCAAAAAAAGGATAGCGATTAGGACTGGGTTTTTTGACCTAGGAGTTCTTGCTATCTTTGAATCTGGAGTAGGATTTATATAATTAATAAATTAGGCATCTTGGAAGGCTGATGCAGGTGGATTGCAAGTGCTAGGCCAGCCTGAGCAACTAAGGCCCTGTCTCAAATTTTTGAAAAAAGGTGGGTGGGGGAAGCTGGAGATGTATCAGAGCGCAAAGGCCTTGCATTTAATCCTTAGTGCTACCAAACAAACAGACAGACAGACATTATGGGCTCTTCAAGACTAGCCTTATGCCTTGAAGTTCAATACATGTTCTTGAATTTCCTCCCGCTAGCAGGCAGGAAAATGTAGGCCACTTGCATGCAGCGCGTGGCCTGGGGTCCTGCACTCCCCAGCATGGTTGTCCGAATCTCCTTTCCATTCTGAGGAATCAGCGTGGCCATACTGTACGTCACTTTTGAGGTGGACTTCTGCTAGTTTTTCTCTGGTTACTTCAGTTAGTCCTACTCGGTTTCCGGGGGTTACACCCGAGGAACCTACCTGGAAAACTTAGCGAGCCTCCTGCCATCCGGGAACCAGACCTGTTCCCCGGAAGAAGGCACTGTCCCATCTCTTGGGCTTGACCAACAGGTACTAGTTGTCCTTTGATCTGCTCCTCCTTATCCCCCAGCCTAAGTTCATGGCTTCTTAGGAGGGGGCAGATTATTTGCTAGATGGTTGACCCAAGGTAAGCACCAGACGCAACGTAGACTAACCAGTGCAGCACTCTAGGTTTTTTGTTGTTGTTGTTGTTTTTCAAACAGGAAGGAGAATTAAGTACTCTGAGGTGTAAGAGCCTCAGACACCAAACTCAGGAGCCACTCACGGGTAGTCTGGGTCCCTTCCTTCCTTCCTTCCTTCCTTCCTTCCTTCCTTCCTTCCTTCCTTCCTTTCTTTCTTTCTTTCTTTCTTTCTTTCTTTCTTTCTTTCTTTCTTTCTTTCTTTCTTTCTTTCTTTCTTTCTTTCTTTCTTTCTTTTCTTTTCTTTTTGTACCACGTATCAAACAGGTCTGCAAGGCAGGCAGCAGAATCACTGAGCTAAATCCCTGGCAGCCTGGGTTTCTAATACAGGCACAAGACTCCTTTCTCTTCTTCCTCCTCCTCCTCCTCTTCTTTGAGTTACTGGAGATTGAACCCAGGGCTTTCACATCCCTGCCTGTTTTATCTTTCATTTTGAGACAGGGTCTTACTAAGATGCTAAATTACTGAGGCTGAGCTTGAAGTTTTGATCCTCCTGCCTCAGCCTCCCAGAGTGTTGGGATTACAGGTGTGAGCCATCGTGCTTGGCAGGATTTATGTTTATTGAAGAACAGTGAATTAGATGTGCAAAGAAAGAGGAGATAGGGAGGCAATTCTGAAGGCATTCAAGTTTCTAATTCCAGTTGTTCTTGAGGCTTCTGAGCTTTTGAGATGTTTTCATTATTTATGCTTTCTTATCTTCTGTGAACTATCAAGTATTTTTTGGTTTGAGGGTTGAAACCAAATTCATACAAGTTACGACCCTTACTTCATTGTACTAATGTAAGCCATTCCGTTCCCTTCTTCCCAAAGAGTGAGCATCTTGGCTTCCCCAGGACCTCATCCAGCCGCTGGCATTAGTGATGACTCTGTAGGCTTGGTGAGCAGCTGTGTAGCCCGCATTCAACTAATTTCATTCCTTGACAGAAATGCACCAGATACCAAGAACAGTCCTCACCAGGTCACCGAAATTCAGCACATCTCCCACCCCACAGCTGGCCTGAACATGGGACGAGGCCATGCCTGGGT